CTGTATTCGATACTCAAATCCTCAAAGAATGGAGAAAATCCTACGAAAGAGTCCAAAATTTCCAAGTTGATGTTGACCGATTTCTCTGATCAAATCCACTAGAACTTGAGAGTCCGTTTCGATAATCAAAGGATAGACCCCCAATCCATAATCCTGTACAAGCAGTAGACCATCCAGTAGTGCTAAGATTTCAGCTTCCATATTAGTGCAAGTTCCATAGTAGTAAGATCCAGCTAGAATCATCTTACCCCACTCATTTCGTAAAACCAGTCCCCCACCTGCCTGACCTGGATTACCCTTTGATGCACCATCAGTATTTAGTTTAAGCCAACCTTGTGGAGGAAAATTCCAGCAAATCCATTTGGATCTCCAAAAAACCTTAGTGCATAACCTGACAGTAAGGGACTGAAGCATAGATAAATCCCAGGTAGTATCCACAACTTTGGGCTTGTAAATGCTCACTTGTAACCTGAGTAGATGAATGATAAGCGACAACAAAGAACTGATAGGCTGATTTTGGTTTTCAAAGACTCTATAGCCTCGTTCTTTCCATAATTGCCAGAAAACCATCAAGGATATACCTCTTATTAGAGTATGACTTCTGGATTGCCTAGGATGAGTCCTACACAATCTATTAAATCTGGACAGTGGGGTCTCTGAGGGAAACACTTGAAAACCAAACATTCCTGCAATTTTGAAACAAAGCTGAGAGCTATATTGGCAAGATATGAATAAGTGAGTAGCTGACCCTCCCCACAGTAGCATAAAGAACATCTGCTTGCTAATGAGACCCCCAAGGACTTAAATTTTAAGTCCAATGGAAGAGCATTCTTCATAATCTTCCACCCAATTAACTGTGCACTAGGAGTAGAGTGCTGCTTCCAAATTCTAGTAGCCTGGTCAACCTGAGTGCCCCTTCTTCTAGATAGTTCCCAAGCTGTTTTGATAGAGAAATTCCCAAAAGTAGAAGACTGCCAAATGAGTTTGTCCTCATGCTCAGAGAGGATAACTCTGGTAGAATGGACCTCTTGTAGTAGATTCTGATCTATATGTGCTACACTTTGAAGCTGCCATTGACCTTGAACAAGACGCTCAGAAAATTTTGGAAAGTAGTCTGGTGTAGTTGAATTTCTTAGAATGAGAGGGCCTCCACCTGTCCAGTTATCACACCAGAACCCACTAGCTTCTTTGAATTCTTAACATCTTCAAACCAAGGAGAAAGAACTTTGAAACATCTGGACTGAATTCGACTGTTTTGCAACAATAAGTGATTTTCTCCTAGGGACTTGGTAGTAAAGAAGGAAGACCATAGAGAGCTATTTTGCAATAAGTTCCATACCTGCTTCATCCTAAATGTATTCTGGACATCCTCAAACTTTCTAATTCCCAAACCACCTTCAGAGAATGGTAAAGTAACTAACTCCCATGACCCCAAATGTCTTTTCCTTTTATTTGTCTTATTAGACCACAAAAAAGAAGACATGGCAAAATTCATTCTAGCTATGATACCCTTGGGTAGGTTCAGAGAAGCTAGCAGATGTATGGGGAGGGAACATAACACCGATTTAATAAGGACAACTCTACCCATATTAGAAAGATGTTTAGCATACCAACACTCCAACCTCGACTGAAATTTCTTCAATATATCTTCGAAATAGAGGAGCTTGACTCTCCCCCTAATAATTGGACAACCCAAGTAGGTAAGAGGGCATTCTTTAAGAGGAATGTTTGCAACCCGTGATAACATATTTCTCCTTACCGCTGAGATTTTAGAAAAACAATAGAGAGAATGTGGCAACCAGATGAATGCTCATATCTCCCCACAAATTTCAAAAGATTAGTCATAGATCTCTTACGCCCCTTCAAAAAAATGAGAATATCATCCGCAAACAATAGATGACTTAATAGCTTTGAACCCCAGCCAGTGTGATATCCTTCTATTAAGCCCTGCTCAAATTGGAACCTCAAACCTCTGCTCAACACCTCCTTTGCTAGGATAAAAAGCGAAGGTGATAGTAGATCACCTTGTCTTAATCAATGTTATCTGAATTGTGAGTCGCTTTGGCACGTGGTACGAGTACGGGTACATGGTAAGACACTTTCTTAGGTACACTGTACGATGTGGTAGGTTTAATTGGTACGATATTTTGGGTCACAATTCATTTTGAAACTCTTATATAGATCGTTTTCACTACTGTACAACATTATATATAACAAAACATTCATAAACACTAAATTAGTTATCATTTATTTTATAATTATGCTTGATTTTCTATTATCTAAAATAATATATAATTATAAATCTATATACATGTAGTCAATTAATATGTATTTTATAATTGTGTTACATGTTCTAAAACAAATTGAGTTAGGGTTAGTATTACAATTTGGGATCGTCTATTTTGGTGATCCAGATCGCGAACCCACCTTAATTGGGATTGATATACCTAGATCATGAGTCGTTAAAGGTTTAGTGAATTGTGGTAACCATGATCTTCATCCTCTAGAACTGGGAAAAAAGCCGCACACCATTTATAGTTAAAGAAATATTCTAATGACTCAGACAATTAGAAACAATTGCAACAAAATCTTCGGAAAAACCAAAACTCTTCAATGTTTGTTTCAAAAAATCCCACTCCAATCTATCAAATGCCTTCATCATGTCCAGCTTTACAATAACATTCCTCCACATTTCTATCTAGCTCATTCATCATAAACTGGGCTAGGGCAATACTATCACTCATAGTTTTTCCCTGAACGAATCCATGCTGCTCCTTTGAGATAAGCTTAGGCAGCAAACCACTGAGTCTAGTTGCTACCAGCTTTGTGAAGATTTTGTATAAAAAGTTACATAGACTAATGGGCCTAAAATCTGCGAATGTCAATGGAGTTTCCTTCTTGGGTATCAGAGACAGAACAGGGGCATTAACTGATCGTGGTATAACTCCATCTTGCAAGAAAAAATTAGCCGCATCTAAAATGTCACTTTTAATGATTTCCCAAGCAATTTGAAAGAACTTATCAGCACCCGGTGCACTTTGAGTAGACATAGCAAAAACGACCGACTTGAGTTCTTCCATGGTAGTTGGAGAGGTGAGCTTTAAGTTTTCTTCCAAAGTGACCAAATTTGGTATGATATCAAATAACTCAGTATCCAAAGTGTGAGCCTTTAACTTATAGAGTGCAGAAAAGAAATCCACTGCATTGCTAGCGATAAAATCTTCTTCCTCTAACCAGCACCCTTCTGCATTTTTAATTCTTGCAATCCTGTTTTTTGCTACTTTGCCCCTTGCGACGGCATGGTACAATTTGGTGTTCCTTTCTCCTTCAAGTGCACATCTCATATTTGCTTTTTGTCTCCAATACATTTCCTCTAACCGTAAGACTTCATCCAATTCCGACTTCGCATTATTTAAAGCTTGATTGTTGCACTCCAAATTATCTTCCTCCACCCGTAATTCTGCTTGCTGCAGCTGCTTTTCCTTCACCTTAATGTTTTCGAATAAGTTCCCAAAAATTTCTTTGTTCCACTTCTTTAAGTGGAATTTTAAGTACTTTAGCTTCAAAAATACATTTTAGATCGGATTATTGGAGTAGTTACCTGCCCAGTTCTCCTTCACCAGCTGTTCAAAACTATGATGTTCAGTCTACATATCTAAAAATTTGAAATAAGCTATTCTCCTCGTAGCAAAGGATTCAGAAAATCTACAGACAAGAGGGCAATGATCAGAATGTATTCTACCAGCATGCTCAATCTCTGTCTTTTCAAATCTGTCACCCCAATGCACATTAGTCAATGCCCTATCAATTCTTTGCCACATTCGAGTCAATCCCTGGTGGTTATTACACCAAGTGAACGACGACCCAGAAAACCCAGAGTCATACAGGCCCATGTTATTTATAAAAGAAACAAATTCACTCATCACGGCCAGAGAAGGCGATGATCCACCCTTTCTCTCTGCTGAGGAAACAATTGCATTGAAATCTCCCACAATCATCCAAGTCTATGATATTTATGCGTCACCTTGGGCACTGCTTTTAGATGCAGATTATGAAGTTCATCGACAGCAAAAGAAGATAGAGTTGGACGCTCAAGAAAAATCCAAATTTGACCGAGCACTCAAGGGCATAATGCAACACCACTTCATTCAAGAAATCCAGTTAGTTGGTTGCCTTTTTTTGTGCATGATAAATCAAACTTTGGGGACAAAGTTCTCTTAAAAGGGGAATGTAATGTTATATGAACATTTTTAATATTTTTTATGTAATCTAGGAGTTGGTTATTGGAAGATTATTAGTGAGTAGTTAGTGATGGAGTATTTTGGTGGGTAGTTTTCTAGGTGGTTATTAAGATAATTGAGTCATATGTTAGGTAGGTTATTAAGGTAATTTTTATCATCTTATATTTAAAGGTCTTTCTATCAATGGAAATAATATGTTGAATATTGTGATAAAATTTTCTTATAAAGTTTTGGAGATCCGAATTCTTGAAACAAACAAAGGTTTCCAACCCCCTCGAAGCGGATTTTCTTCCCTTATTCGATTTTTAGTTTTATTTATATTTTCCCTAAAAGTGTGCATGTAACATGCTTCCTGCGATGGATTTAATTAGAATTGAAGCAGAAAGATCACAATGCTATGCAAACCAACACCTTCAATAGCACAAACTTAATGATACTTTCAAAAACTGCAATATACAAACACAAGTAACACCCAATCATGTTCTATATAATTACTCCAAATTGCAATTCCATTTAGTGATCGCTAAATAGCACAGATCTGCAAATTAAAATCTTTGCTGCATGTTCTGATTCTCATTGTACTCGTTTCCAGCTAGAAACTTCAAAGCAACCAAAGGGTAAATAGGCAACCAGCATCTCAAATGTAGATAGTAGACTACAAATTGCATTTTACAATTCTCACACATATCAGATATATACACACATCACACCCAAGCATTTTATATATGCTTAATCCACACTAAAATTCCATGGAGTGGTCACTAAATGGCACAAATCTGCAAATTAAAATCTTTGCTGCAACTAGCATTTCAAATGTTGATTACAAATTACACATGGGAATTCCCAAATATGGCATAATTCTCACCATTTCACAATCTGCAATAAATAGCTGGAGAATCTAGGTTACATATGTTCTTCCCCATAGTGCACCCTCCAAATACTAACGGGACCAACAAGGGTAATAAGCCAAACTTATCTTTTCCACCAACAAACATCGACATTATATAGAGACCAAACATAAGAATGTTGCCAAACGAGGGGCAGCCCAAAACGCAGAAAGATTCCATCTGCTGAAGCTTCATTACTTTTCTCAGTGATACAGACAACCAATAAATCGAATTCAGAAATTCCTAAGCCTTAGTTCGCCTAAATTCAAACCAAATCTCATAGTGATTGAAAAGTAAACTATCATGTGTGCGCTTCTCAACAAACTCGAGCCCTATACTTTTTAACCTTTTTGTACATTCCTCTCCCCCAAGCCGTGAACAGAACTTTATATTATGTGATACAAAAATTCGACCTTCTAGAGGTTTCAACCTACCCACTAACCTCTCTAATCCAAACCAAACAAGTTTATCAGGCATATGAAGAAAAACCGCACTGGCATATATCAAGTCATACATAACACCAGATCCAAATCTGCTAAAATCCATATCTTCACCTCTCACAATCAGAGGCCGCTTATGCAATAAACCTTGGGATGGAAGCTCGTACCTAAATGCGGCCATTAACGAAAGCTCGTCTCGCTCCAGACAGTGGAAGTGTTGTGGGTCCAAATAACGGATGAAATGCAAGCCTACGCGAAGTGTGCCACACCCAATTTCCAGAACGCGTGAGTCTGGCGATAGATGGGTAGACTCAGCAAGAAACTCAAACACGTCTCGCCCACCCGCCCAGGGCTCACCGTAGTTGCTGTGGTGCTGTTCCACCAGAAGCTCACCAGGGCACGGTAGAGCCGTGTGATTGTTTGCTTCTTCCCCTTCATAGTGTGATATGCCCTTGAATCTGAAACCACAGGAGAACGTAATCACAACTGTAAATCAAGTGTTCGACTAAATTCACAAGAGAGAGGGAGAGAGGGGGGAGAAGAGAGAGTGTGACTACCCGATCAAATCTTGGAGCTGTTGAGCGCGAGTGCGAGGATTTATGCCTTTACGGAGCACATTGTCTTGCATATGCAGTCCATTCTCATGGATCTGACTCTTGACCCATTCAACATCCTCCCTCGTGGCCGAGATCCGACGTCCGCCACTTTCGACGGCGGAGACTGTACTCTCAACGGTGGATTCACCGGTGGTGCGGCAAGAACAAGATGGAGGAGAGGAGATAGAGGAAAACAGGAAGAGAAAGAAGATTGCAGCGGCTGTCGCAGATAGCACTAGGACTGGGACTGTAACTACAATGCCCTTTTGAGAGGAAGATGATGATGATAGGGCCATGTGCGTTTGGCCTCAGGAAGAGAGCAATTTGGTGCTTGTATTATCGAGCGTCCCTATTCACACAGTACACATCATGTCGCCTACCAACTCTGGCGACAGACACAAAGCATTTCTTTTTTTCTCTCACAAGTCACAAGTCACGAGCCACAAGCCACAAGCCACAAGCCACAAGCCACCTAAGGGGAGATTCACTTCAAAATATTTTTTTACATGGATAAATACGGCGCGTCCAAATGGACTTTTAGCCCTGGAATTTCATTTAATTTAGGTAGAATTACGCTCTAATTTCTCCAAAATTTATGTCTTGACATTTAAAAATCTTATATATAGATCCGTGAGATTTATATTCGCGTAACACTTAGACTATTGCCATTAAATGTTAATATTATATTCGTTAATAAATTATACTCAAATTTTTTGAAGTTTATAAGCGTATAATTTAAATAATTTTTGACTAAAGTTCTACTTGGTTATTGATCGGATAATTGTTGTTAAAGAAGCACCTTCCCTTTTGGAAAGAGTTGAAATAGCCATGTTTGCAGCGCTTATGCATGCAACGGAAAGAGCATTTGCGTGGAGTGGGGATCACTCCATTGGTTCAATGCAAGCTATCTTTCGTTTTGATACCCTCTCATCATTCCCTTGCTTGACAATAAGCGAATCCAAGTATGTCATTTCACCAAGTAATTTTTCATGCATTAAAAGGGGGGAAGCATCCAATTCTATGCCACAAATCAGATTCTGTAACTTACTACATTCGGGTTACTTTTCTTAATCTCAGAAGTGACAGAACTCTTTTTCCTTTCAAAAAGAGCTAAATCGACTAGGGATTTGATTAGTAAAAGTTGTCTTTTTAAGGAGAGTTTTCTCTTTTAAGAATTGAATTATTGAGTTATAAGTTGATGAGTCTTTCCATTATTATCTTATTGATTTAAGTACTATACTAGACTAGAGCAAATTACGCTATTTCTATCATAACCTTTCATTTTTAATCATGCAATTAGAGATCATAAGATTTTTAGTCATTAGGGTGAGTCTGTTCGTCATAATAGCCATCCAAAGGCTTTGAAATTCAAATTACATAATTTTGATCATAAGTTATCTAAATCTTGGTCAAAAACTAATCATATTACACATTTTTTTTGTTAAGATCTATTTTAATTTTGGTCAATAACTATCTAAATTATTTTTGGTCCATATTTAAGTATCACGTGACAAATTTATGATAAAAAATCGTTAGCAATTTAGGTGTTGCCTACTTGAAGAACCAAAGAAAAATATATTATATATTTTAGAGACTAAAATAATACGATTAAAATATTAAAAACTTAAAATAAAATAAATTCTATACTTTGAGACCTCCATACAATTAACCCTAATGTTTGGTAAAACTTTTAAAACGGCTTCTTTCACAAGCCCATTCTCTAATAAATGCCCGTTTCAAGAAAGAAAACCACTATATGGGTAGCTTCTCTCGCCAGAATCTCCATTTAAATGAAATAGCAAACTTCCCATGTTTCCCTTCCCTCATGCTTTGTTTAACTTCCTACCTTACCCTTGATATTACTTAAATTGACAAAACCTAAACTGCAACCCCCAAACATAACCAGTCACTCAGTCAGGACCGAAATGCTCTATTCTTTCTTTCTCTTGGATTGCACATATAATATATGTAGTTATACCCTACTGTCGGGATTGGTGGCATGGAGAAAACTTGCTGTGATCTGTGAGACTTCTAAAAGCTAAGATTTCGTTTGGTAGAAAAGATAAAAAGTAGCAGAGATACAGTTTATATCCTTCAATAAAGAAAAATAGGAATAATACACTTTTTTTTTGTGTTTAGTTGGATGAATGAAAAATAAAAATAAATAATTTTTTTTTTTGTGCTGGCTAAGATTAGGGGTGACAATCGAGTCATGTCGTGTCAGATTCGTGTTGAGTTATTACGGGTTTGTGTCAAACATTAGTCACACTTAACTCAACTCACTTAAATAATTGTATCGCGTCGAGTTACGAGTTGATCTGTTTATTTTCATGTTGTATTCGTGTTCGTGTTCGAGTTAATCAAGTTTGTGTCATAAAATTTGTGTCGAGCTATGAGGTTAATTGTTGGAAGTGATACGTGGAAAAAATTTTTGTTTGTCTATAATATATACGGTTTCTCCAGTATTTAGATAAAAAGAAGAAGAAGGATTAGCTTTGTACTTTATCTTGTATTTTAACCGAGTTTTGTTAATTGAGAAATGAAGTTTAAAATTGGGTCATGACTTTGTTGGCATTACACCCATTTGCATGGAGGAGCAATTTCATACTTAAATCCTATAAGATTCTATTGGTGTTTGAAATCCTATGTCATAGTTTTTTTTTTTTTGGTTTTTTTTTTAGGTTGTCATAAATCCCATGTCATAGGGACATGAGTTAACTTTTTGTTTTTTGTTTGTATATTTTGAATTGTTTTATTAAAATACGTTAATTAATATTTAAAATCGAGATTAAGGATAACAATGTGAATTAGATGTTATTTTTCACTTTTCATATATTGTCACCAAAATTATTTTATGCACTTCTTAACTCAAAGGCACTTCTAAAATGTACATTCACCAAACACTACACATTTATTGAAAGTTCATTCTAAGAAGTTCATCTTCATAATATTTGAAATTCTAAAAAATCTTTAAATTCTAAATTTATCCTTTAAACAATTAAAAGTCTCACATTTTACTCCCAATAAGATGAAAATATAATGATACAGTCTAAAATCAAATATATGTTGTTTTGTCCCCCAAAATTTTATTTCTTGTTTTTTATATTTTTCTATTTCTATATAGAATTGTTTGTATATACTTAATTTTGTTAAAATGGATCATGTTGTTATCTTTCTATTTGATTAAGAGTGTAACATGAACATTTTAATTTTTCAGGATATAAATTGAAAATTTAAAATGTTTTGAATAAATTATGGTTTGTCATTTTTCTTTATTTTTTGTTTAATTTTTTTATTAGAAATTTAAATAAATTTTATTGTATATAAACGAGTCCTACACTAATACATGGTAATTACCTCCAACTACCAAAGGAAAAAAATTAAAAAAAAAAAAAAGAACGTAAAAGGATATAGATCCAAGGATCTAAAGCTATTAGGAAAGAAAAATTTCGGTGTAATCGTGATGCAATGATTTATTAAATTATAAGAGATATTCTCATAGTGTCTGAAATTATATTGTATACTTTGTTCAGTACAATTAGGGGTGTCAATTGTGTTGGGTTAAGTAGGTGAAAAGTTTCAAAATTGAATATGATCCACTTATTTAGGGGGTTATTCGACATGATCGGTGTAACCCACCAAATAAATTGAAACAAGCTCTGAAAATTGAAGCTTATGGAGTAATACTGATTTGAGGAGAGAGAAAGAGAAAATTTTGAGAAAAATCGAAGATCAACAAGAAGAACACAAATTTCAAAATTTTACACCCATACATAACCTCCTTGGACATGTCTATATATGTTTTTCCCAAGTTAGAACTATCAAAAATATTAAGCCACACAGATATGAGACAGAGAGATAGGGGGGGGGGGTTAACAGAATGAGGGAGGTTGCGAAAGGAAGAGATTGAGAGGGGCTAGCCATTAGGCCAACTAAGGAGTAATACTAATGAGCTGAACTACTATGGGCTGGACTAAGAATAAAAAATGGGCTTCTAAATTAAAATTGAATAAAGGGTAAATTGTAAGGGGTACATCAAATTAGACTTATTTGACAAAAAGTACACACTAAAAATTGTAGGGTTATTAAGTCCTTAATTTTGATACTTATTTGTATCAAAGTACACAATTTGAATTTGCCTAATTTTTTTGTGACATTTTTGTCCTCCATTGATCCATGTGTATGTTATTTGGAAAGTGGTGCATTAAATATCTCTTATTTTTGTGGGAGAACTTTAGTATTTAATGTACCTTGATTCATGTGTATTTTTTAATATATATATATATATATATATATATATATATATATATATATATATATATATATATATATATATATATATATAAATACATATATATATAAATACATATATATATAAATACATATGTATACAAGTATGTATATATGTATAAATATAAATATATATGTATTTATATATATACAAGTATATATATATTGATGGTGCAAAATGACGTGGGTGAAGAGAATGCGTGGGACCAAAGGTGAATCTAGGATGCTAACCTTATAATGACAGTGTTGAAGTGTTTCTTAGGGGGTAGAAGAATTTGCACGGTAGGAATATAGTGGTTCACCGACTTTGGAGTTCGGCTAATCCACTCTTTAATGGAGGCTCTTGCTCATTTTTCTCTATTGATTATTCGTATGTATTGCAGTACAATGCGTGATCTAATTAGGATTTTTTTTTTAGGGTCTTGCCTCTTGATGAGACGTTACATAATATTTATAAGGCTGCTCCCTATTATGTGGAATTTTAGCTGAGATCTTTGCCAATCATTCATGGGATCTCCCTTGATTTTAGGAGAAAATCTCGGTTGGTTGGGAGTTTTATGCACTGAGCTCAATTTTCGCAGTCATCCAGCTGTTTCCTGGTCGATTCTGCTACGATCTCCCCAAAGGGAGCTCTACCCCTGGTTCTCTGAGTTCTCCTTATCTTTCCTAACCTCCTGACCTCACCTCATTTTTTGAGCTTATAGCTAGAGCTTATTTGAGGTATCATCAGTCGCCTCCCAGCCCCTGGTTCAAGCAAGCTTGGGCAGGGGTTGAGCTGTTTCTTAAATCGATCTAGATCTGCACGTGGCTGACCTTGGCTTGCACGTGAGTGAGGCCTTTTTGACGATTTTCAGCGGCTTCCTCGTTTCTTGTGCACAGCCCAATGAACAATTCTATAAATGTTGGGAGAGGTACAAGGAATTGCTACAATCCCTTCCACATCATGGCTTTGAACCATGACAATTGGTGAGTTTCTTTTATGAAGGAATCACACCAGGCCATCGAC